TTAGGACTTGTCTTGGGGCTGGTGTGGGAGTCAGCATAAACCGATCAGACCTGCAGGAGCCTGCCCCTGGGGCTGCGGCACCTCTCGTCCCCCTGATTCCTCTCACACTAATCAATAATAGTTCAACCATTTCATTTGCGCAAGCTCTCAGTTTTCGGGATGGAAATCCCTTCCAGGCATAAAGCTTGAGGTTCAATTGTCTCTAAACTCCACCATTTCTGCTTTGAAGGCCATTGTTCTGGAGGAGAAGTAAGATTTACCTCACGTTCCAGCCCCAGGGAATCTGAAATCCTAAGGAAACACCCTCACTGTTAGGACATTTTCTTCCAGCCTGAGCCCAACCTACCTGCCATATCAGTCCCCTATACTGAACTTCTGTACTTTATTTCTCTGCGAGAAACAAGAACACGACTAAATTCATTTCTGAAAGATCTGAAAGCAAAACCGGAAAAGCAGGTGACAAAGCTCTAAGTACCCAGGTACAGGGAAAACACACTTAAATAAGGCACAGAGAGAATAATAAAGAAAGGAATAAACCCGAATTACAAATCAAAAAGTGAAGTAAGGGGCCCAGCAGGTGGTGGAGTGGTTAAGGTGTTGGACTCCCACATAGCAGACTGCAGGCTCATTCCTGGACCCACTGGCTTGAAGATCACACCAGGGGCATGTGTGTGCGTGCCCAAAACCCCAAGGGGAGATTGGAGAAGGGACTGTGGCATGGCCATGCCCCTGAAGGGTGGTTTCTCTCCTTCCCTTTCACTTTCCCTTCCTCTTTTTCAAGTGAGTGCATGTGCCATATGGCAAAAGCCTAAAAAGTGGGACAACTGGACCTTAATGGTGTGGGAGGGTTGTCCATGATTAAACCTCAGTCTACAGTCAAAACTGTTCTCAATATTTTCAGTATTCTGGACCACATCAACTGCTATCCTTTCTCTGTTGGGATGTGGGTCTCAGTTGAGTTGTATAATCACCTGACCCATTGCTACAGGACAGAAACATGCAGACTTGCAGGAGTGTAAAGCCAGGTTGCTCAGTGCTCACAGCCCTGGTGAAAGGCTGGGGCCTACCATGCCAGCAGCTCCAAACAGACCCCAAGCCCCGTCTCCAGAGGAAGCTGACCTCCTGGGCTGCCCTGCACACTCCTCCCAGTGACTGCCTGCCGTGGTTTGGGGAGAGGAACCTTGGACCAGACTGATGGTGAGAAGAGGTCGTTCTCTTTCCTCTACGACCTCTCCTAGTAAATTTACTGTGGCACTGGGCTGCACACATCCATGTCCTGGTCCCCCTGATAGCCAGCCACCATAAAACCTGCTAAGATTCCGCAGCCAGACCAGTTTTCTTCTTCTTTTAAGTTACCCCAGGGCTCCAAACAGTCATGGCTACTGAAAACACGGCCTCGGCCTTGGCGGCACAGCAGGCACGATCCTCCCAACGCCGAGGGCACTACCAGGGCAGCACAGAACGGTTCTCCCTGGTAGTGGCACGCGCTTCGCTAAGGCGGGTGCCCTCTTCCAGCGCAAACGAGATGAACACGTGCACCATCCAGTCCATACTGCCACGTCCCTCTGCTACGAGAGCGCAGACGGATGACAGCTTCCACTTCCTCGCAGGCTCTTCAGAGCTCCCTCCCCTCGTGGGCAGCTCCCGGTGCTGCCTGGGTGGCCATCTGGCCAGCCCTGTACTTCACTGGCCTCCCGCTGACGGTTACCACACTGACCCAGCCTACAGGACAGC